GATTTACAGAATCTGTCTTAAGATCCCTCGGGGAATCGACATGTTGTCTTACACTCTGGCACTCTCGTAAAAACGCGTTTAGCCATGGGCTACGGGGGTGGCGCTGTTGGTGCTAGAGATGCCGATGGAAAGAAGTACAGAAAAGAGAAAAAAGAAGGAGAAAAACGGTTAGTGGATTCTAATTGCAGAAGTGACGACGCCATAACTAATGACCGGGAGACGACGTCCTGTCAGTCGTCGCGACGCTGCAGTCTCCCTCTACGAGGTGCGGACGTAGGCTTGCACTGGAAATTAAATACTTTCAAGAAAGTTGAGGATATTACGGGCGAGGACTGACTTTTCCTTCGTTATACGTGCGATTTTGAGAATTTCGAATCCCTCGGGAGTGATTTGGATTTTGGAAAAAATTTTTCAAAAATAGGTAACACGATTCCGTCCTTTTTCCCAGGCAGCTACCCTGTGGTTCCCAGTACAGTATTGTATTTCCAAAAAAAAAGGCACACAGCCACTCAGCGAAAGGATTAAGGCGAAATTGTGTTTAATTAGTTTCCGAGTATCTTTTTCCTGATAATTACAGTAATCAGGGGCACGTGGGCAGTAGACTCTTCCAAAGGGTTTTAAAGTGCGAGCCAGAGGCGGAGAGTGCGGCGCTGCGCCGGAAATAGACGGCAAAAGACACTGGAGGGATGAGCGGGGAATGGCGAACAGGAACGCAGTGCTGGCGGCCGTAGAAAAAAGACGGGAGAAGAAAATCGGGGCTAATAGGATCACAGGGCCGCCTCAAACGGTCCATGATGCCGCTTTCCTTCCTGGCTCAATAAGCGGGACAGAAAGTCTACGCATAGAAAAAGAAAGAGAATAAAGCGAAATCGGCTCTCGATAAGAAGAAGCGAGAGAGAGAGAATTCGGAAGAAGGACCAGGGCCGTTCCTCGTTCTGGTTCGCGGGTCCATTAGGAATTAAACGCTCGAAGTAGCCTGAGAACGGATTCTGGAAATAAGGTGAAATCGTGCGTTTACAAATGTTACCGTGTCAAGTGATCGTAGGAACATATACAAGGACTATGAAAATCCCAGAGCGTGCATCGGAGACGTTGGCTATCCGGTGAAATAAATGGAAAACGAAATTCCTTGCGAGACGCGACACCCTATATATAAGGACACGAACAAACTAGAGGAACGTGTCTCGAATGAAGAAATTTAAATGGAGTCAAGCTGAGCCGCGGAGATCGTTTATAGGTTATGGCTGGGAGATTCTGGAATAAAGTCGAAGGGATGAAAAGAGGAGGAAGTGACGTAAAGTCGCGTCGAGTGCAGGAAAGCCAACTGTTCGCGTCTTCATCAAGACGTCGGACCACCCATCAGGACAATATGGTTTCATCAGCCGCTAATATCACTGCTTCGAGTGGTTCAACACCTCGGAACGCCAGGTGGGACATTAGAGGCGCCGCAGGAAGCCCTAATGAAGACAAATCTCACCGAAAATGGCGGCCGAATCTATTTCCTGCCACGGGAACCGAATTAATTTGACAGCCGTTTTTCTCTTCGGCTGAACGATAAGATCTCGCGCGTCGACGTTGATTTCGTAGTGCTCGACAATTCGAACGGGGACCGAGTAAGATAATGACATACGTATATGCATATAGATATTTAACGTAAAACCAGGCTGTCCTTAATAACATCGAATACGAACGCAAAAACTGACCCCTCGCATATTTCACTGTACTTAATTAACCTGGTGTTTGCATATATATATTTTTTGTATCTCCATCCATTCCAGTAGTCGGTTATTACACTTTCTACGCCAGAGAATAAGCAAATGGACAATGTCCGGTAAGAAGAAGTTTGGGCGACCGGAATAGTTACCGGTAACGATAACGATATCGGAGGTGATGTTGGCACGGAAGAATGAGTCGAGGGAAATTGTAGTGTAAAGGTGGCTGTTTTTAATTGAAAGTTAAAGATTAAGAGAAAGATTAAGCAGGAGTATATATATATATATATAGCAAAGTGGAAAGTCAAGAGAAGAAGGTAGAGCGCATCTGCGGCCCGGCAAAAATCAAACTATAAATCTTTAAGTGGAGGGGGACAGGCTCTTCTCGCCCCCTGTCCTGTACCCCTGGGCCTAAACGACTAAATAAGTGTTCCAATTTCAAAATTACCCGCTAAACGATTTGTGGGCTGGCAGAAAATGTATCGTTGACATGTGGCCAAAGCCCTGAGGGTCGCAGGATGAGCCTCTTCTTGGGACCCGGGAAACCGAGGTGGGTACAAAACGGGAGACAAATGACTGTCGTCCGACGGAAGACACTTCCAAATTGCCTGGTCACTGCTTTTCTTTTTTTCTCTCAAATCCTCTTTTTTCGTCGTTAACAAATTTTTCGAATTTCTCAACCATCCCGCCAGCTCGCGCTTGCGCTACCCAGCAATTCCCATTAGAATTCTTACAGCGTGTAGGACATGGACTGAAAATTGTTTGATATTTTTTTTTTGAAATTCCATCTGTCTTTAATGAAACTTTCAGACGCCAATCTTATCCTTATTTTTATTTTTTTTTTTTATCAATCAATATCGGTATCACGTATTCGCGTAAATTTTTTTGCAAAACAGTCACCGCGTACGGTACAAGTTTTTGTTGAATGAAGGAACGTCGATAACGTAGGACTCGATCGATTTTTCATAAAGACTTGAAATCGTTAAGAATTTTCACATGTAAAGTCAGGTATTACGTACCTCCGTGTCACACGACTCGAAACCAGTACACACGACCATTGTTAAAAGATGACGAGTCCAAATCAGAATTCAATTTCTTGTATATCAATTGTCTCTTGCGGTTTCGGGAAATCTCCAGCCCGGTTTGAATAAGTTAATTGGCCGCCGTTTTGTCTTTTTGCTGGTATTCTCGGGCACCGGCGGCGGCTTAAAGGCTATTTACAGTTTGCCCGTTAAATTCAGTTAACAAGAAATTGTTACCAAATAATCTATTAGGTGAAAGATCGTTTCAAGATCGTCGCGGCCTTTAACTCGGGTTTCCGTTCACCTCGAGCGGTTTCTGTCCGAGCGGAACCAAGATGGCCGCCGGACCCGTCACCTTATTACCCTTCTTACCCTACCACGTTCTTCAATGCACTCCCAGTATCTCTCTCTCTCTCTCTCTCTCCCTCACTCTCACTCCTCAAACCGTCCAACCCTCCTTACCCTCCACGCCATTTCTTATCCCTCTTCTTCCTCCTATCCATCCTATATACCAGCACGCCTATTTCTCCTTCACACTACATAACGTTACGCTCCTTTCGCGCATTTTCCCCTCATTGCGTATCGCAACGATTCCCCACATTGAATACGGGTTAATAGCTCAAATTATTACAGAGAAGATACGCTAAATTCAGTTTTCATAGGGAAATCAAAAAAGAGTAGAAAAACCCCGTACTAGCTTTTCCTATAAACAGTTACGATTCTCTCATAACGGACGTATATACAGGGTGTCCAAGTTATGCCAAAGGTAGTTGCCGTGACGAGAATCCCCTGGCAAGGCTTCGATGTCCGTCGGAGTAGGTGGAGTAGGCGACGTGGAAGGCGCGGAGGCTGCGGAAGAGGCGGGAGGAAAGAAGAGTAAACCGAGCGAGTCGTGGTGGCCGAAGAGGAAGGAGTAGCTTGATGGTGGCGACGACGGTGGTGCTGATGGTGTAGGTGGCTCGGAGGTGACTCGGAGGTGACTCGGAGGTGCCGGAGGAGGTTAGTCCGCGTTGCGAAAGGGCAGCGGCGAATCCGCGAACATCAAACGAATTAAATCTCCGCGGAGAGTCGACCGCAGAAACTAATATCTCAGCGCCTCTCTCCGGCCGCCCGTTTCTACGTCTCTGGACCTCTCGAGTCTCCGAGTCCCACAAGACTAACTCCGGCTTGCGCACGTCGGTTACTGTCTCCCTGTTACTCGTCCGCTCTCGGTCTCTGCCTACTAATAGACGCCGGCAAAATGGATCTTCCTACAGGCATCCGGCGATTATTCGTCGATCCGCTAAACGCTCGGGAGAGGAAGAAAAAATGAAGGGCTGGAAAGGACATTTTGTAAGATGACTCAAAAAAGGACTGAGTATGGTCATTTGACATTTATTACGTACCGGGTGTCTTGTTTATACAACTTTTCCACGAATCACTTTAAATGGGGATGATTTATTTTTTTATGTCGGAATTTTTTCTTTCAATTGTTTTATTATTTTCTTTTTTTACATGAAACTTGTACAGTCACCCCACACTTGCAGTTGGGATTTTTTTTCGTGGAAATCGGTCCTAATCTTTCGTAGGGACTGTACCGTAGGTTGCGCAGGTGTGACCGATGGCGGCGGCCTTTGATCCGCAAGCCGCTTCGGCTACTTTGTCCGCGGGATCTTGCGCCTTTCTTACGATTATTTCACCGAGCTTCGATCTTACGTGAAAAATCGTTATTAACATTTTTCAAGGGGATTTCGCGCCACGACCAACGCGACCGGAGTCACTCGGATCGGTGCTACCGATCGCGAGATATCGATCGTCGGAGGGACTGCGGTATTACTTGCGAAGCTTGGAATTTCATGTGGTGTCCGGAACGAATGCGTAATACGACTTTTATGGAGAAATTCTTTCGGGACCCGAGCGCGATGTGTGCATCTGATTTGTGGCTCGCGGCTGCGCCGATGCACGTATCGTCCAGTTCTTCGTTTACCACGCCGTCCACTCTTCGTCCCTTTCATTTAGTCTTCCGACAGGCGAAGCAGTCGGATGCAGAAGGCGTGGTCAGCTACGCGGACATTTTTCAATGACACTATATATATATATGTATTTACTAATGAGTTATTCGTTAGCGATAGATACGGGTTAATTGCCACTTGAAGTTTTTTTTTTTTTTTTTTTTTTTTTTTTTTTTTTTTCCACCAAGCCGCCATTCTTTCCAATAAGACGCTCGTCGATAAATAGCGATAGGGCCGCCGATGATTAATGGCACGACTTTTCCGCTGTGTTTCAGAACAAGCCAACCATCTGAACCTGTTCAATAATCGGCAGCAGCCCAAGAAGAAGCGCAAGAGTCGGACGGCCTTCACGAACCAGCAGATTTTCGAGCTCGAGAAGCGGTTCTTGTATCAGAAATACTTGAGTCCCGCTGATCGGGACGAAATTGCTGCTCAGCTTGGTCTCAGCAACGCCCAGGTCATCACCTGGTTTCAGAATCGACGGGCGAAGCTCAAGCGGGACATGGAGGAACTGAAGAAAGATGTACAAACTGTTAATCCTCTGTTGGTGGCGCAGCATCACAAGACTTTTCTGGAGAATGTCCAGGACTTGGGTATCCTCAAGAAGAGGCCACTGCCCAATTCGATGGACGATAAGTCATAGGTAATCGGGACTTTTCGAAAACGCGACGGATATCGTTGAAGCATATTAAAACGTCATTCCCGACGAGCGATGGATACTTGACAAATTTTCCCGAGACTCGAGGTACCAGATTTCTCGTGCGTTTATGATTTTTGCAAATTCTCCAATAAGTCGCGAAAAATAAAGTGGGCGGTCGAAATGTTTGCGATTACAAAAAAAAGAAATACATAAAAACTCTCAATTCGATTTCGTAACCCAAATTTTTGTCATTCCTCTCGATTCGACGTGACGACGAAAAATCGATTCGGATTTGCGAATCGAGAATATCTAATGTTAAATCGATCGGTAACTATGAAACCATAGTGGACTGCTGCACCGGGAGCAGCGTGCTGTATTATAATGTATTTATTATATAAAGAAAGTTCGCGCCGGGCGAACAAGATCGAAGTTAATAAATTATTAATAAACATAGCCGATAACTTATAAGCCTCGCCACGATCGGCTAACGAAACCTGTAAATAACTTGTACATAGAGAATATTGTCATCGATGATCTTTTTTTTTCCCCCCCGTTATTAAAAGCATAAGCATTAGGCACAACTATATAGGTTAGTATTATAAACAATAGATGGGACACTGCAATATACCTAATTGTCGGTTTTAGAATGGTTTACGATTTTTTTCTAAGATGCGAAGAATCGCACCGATGCGCGCCGTAAGCGAGCAGCGACCCAGGCGACGCCTGACGTGATGCATGAGAAAAGCGAAAGATTGAAGAACAAAGTCAAAAAAGCAAAAATAATATCAAGAACAATGAAAGAGTATATGTACAGAAAAAGAACTTGGTACAGTGTAATAGCGAACTTTAAATAAATGGAGATATGCTTAAGAAGTTACAAGATGATAGTATTCATATTTTTTTTTACTCTTACCTAATTTATCAATTTTTTATTCTATGCTTCGAGTGCCGGACTATAAATTTTTTTTTTTTTTTTACGTGACAACGAAACCAGGGTGAAATAACCAGCTACGCAATGGACGACAGTCTTTATTAGGGTTAGTCGACATTTGCCTTACAAACAACGACTGACGTCGGACAAATAAAATAATTCTCCGAGAATAGCGGCGAAACCGTAGCTTACCTTCCGAGAAAGCTTTTTGAAGTCGTTCGCAATGTTTACCTGACGACATAATTTATTAAGATGAAGTTCGCTCTGTGAGCTATTCGTTGCTGGTCCATTCGGAAGTAGTCTGGCACTCGTCATAACCGACTAGTACCTGACATAACAGAGCAGACAGCCATATATTGCTGGGTGCAGTAAATTGGAACACCGTGTATACGCTCAAATATGTATATATATATATATATATATATATCGATATATTGAGTACAGACCATGAGACATAACTTTGATTTTAAGAACAAAAATTTTGTTTACCACTTTTCTCTTGATATCAATTACGCTAACGTCCACGCATTATCTGGATATTTCGGTAACGAATAATTTCGATATATTGAGTACAGACCATGAAGCAGACAGCCATATATTGCTGGGTGCAGTAAATTGGAACACCGTGTATACGCTCAAATATGTATATATATATATATCGATATATTGAGTACAGACCATGAGACATAACTTTGATTTTAAGAACAAAAATTTTGTTTACCACTTTTCTCTTGATATCAATTACGCTAACGTCCACGCATTATCTGGATATTTCGGTAACGAATAATTTCGTTGCGGTTAAGCCTTAAAGCTTAAACGTATTCATTACTGCCATTCGTCGATAATTCGCTAAGAATTTTTTAATGCGCACTCGGCCGAAGAGCGTCCAGAAAAAGCGAGTGAATGATTCGAAGGGAAATGCATATATAAGAGATATGGAAATTAAAAAAAGATTTTAATAACATTTTTGATGGTACGATTGATTGTGAAAAATTAAAAAAAATAGTGGTGGGTTAATAAAAGTAAATGGATCTGACTCATAACGACCAAGGAATGACTCAAAGACAATTATTTAAGAAACTCGTGAACCTTACGAAATCGTAGAAAATCTAGCTATGTAATTACATCTCGCAATCATTGAAATGGACCAATTCGTTATCGAAATGATTAGAAATTACCTTTACTCTCGGACAATTTAAACTTGCAGTCCACGAGGACGATGAATCTGTCGACGAAGCAATCGTAATTGGCGACTTCCTGCACGAAATGCCCCGTTATCGTTCATCGTCGAGTTTACCTAATAGTTCCAGCCCATTAAACTCACGCGGCTAAGTATTGCCAATAATTTTTTATTCTCTTAAATCTCGCCGGACAAGTCACTTAACGTCATATCGTTAAATCAGGTCGTTCTATCAATCGTCGATCGACGTGTATCTCGTTCGATTTCATGGTAACCATAATACAGCATTACGAATATATCATTACGTTAATGAACCATGTCAATCGCATGCCAGATAATTACAATTCGCAAATTACAGATCCGATCTAAAACCAGACGTGGACATATCGGTGATACAGAAGCCACTGCTATATCTATAAAAATAAGAAAAGTGAAAAAAAAGATATAATATTAAAATCGATTCATAAATCAAATTAATTGAATACACAAAATCGATTTAAATATTCAATAAATAATCGAGTAATTCCTTCGTAAATCCCGCGTTATTTATAATATTTGCACAGACTCGCGCGTGGCTCCTATCTTTCCCTAGCAAGTTTCGGGATCGTATATGAAGCAGTAAGCAAGGTAGCTCGCACCGCCCTGTAATTCAGGCGCCGCTACATCCAAATAAAGAATTCATAATGGCGATGATGACCACCGCCAATTTTCTCGATATATCCGATACACCGATAACTCAAAGCGATCCCATCCCTTGGCGTGCGATCGTTTATTATCCATAGTATATACTATATATACATATACACTATATGTCTAGAAAAGCCAGGAGCCAGAATTTCCTGCAATTGGAAAAGCCTTCGATTTCATCCACGCAAAAGGTAAGTCATTATAACGATCAATAAATTAACGATCGATACCATGTATAGATGGGATCATTTAAACGAATGTATAAACTGTTATATCGATGACTAATCGAAAACGCCGAAGGACACGTAATTTCAAGGATACCGGTATGGCTAATTAATCGGTACCCGTTTCTCTCCTTTGCTTTATTTAATCGAGCGAAATACAAGGCACAAGCGTAATGCATCCGTAGACGCGACGTAACAGTTCAGCTAGGTGGATTAGTATCGTTTTAACCCTCCGAACCTACCAGACCACCCTGTAATGTTTTCCCGCAGCATTTTAGGGGCTGCCGTCATTTCACAGTTGGCTGACTTAGATTTAAGGGTGTCGAGCCCTAAGTCGGCCCTTCGTCACCTAGATACACACCGCAGTATTATGTGAAAACAGTTGAAAACACCATAAAGCCAAGGGGCATCCGTGTTGAGATTCGTTTTATAGCGCGATTGCTATTATTTTATATAACCAGTTAAAAAAGAATATCCAAGCTTGCATACCTCTGTACGGTAATGACTGTTAGAAACCAAGAAGACAGAGCAGTTTCAATGAGCAATGACTTAACGTACCCATAGCCTGTCACATGATCGCTAAGAGGACCTAATGATCTACCATCATAGAAACGTTAAGCGTCCACGCCTCTGTCTAGAATAATAAAAGATCAATGCAAACCAGCATCGCTGCTCCGTGCATTCTCCCGATACTCGGGTAACGCCGAGACAAGGCTACTCGAAGGTATCGTTTTCATAGTATCGACACGCCCACGTGATTCGGAGTCATTTACTCGTTGACTCGCTTAACCCGCAGCCAGTCATGCGTCAGTCACTGGAGTCTCGAGCAGATCCATAATTCTGACGTGAACACGCGAGAAACGGGTTTCCCCGCATAGATAATTAGACGTGGAGATCAGCCCTCGCCTCATCAGGGTACCTTGTTAATATGATATCTCGTAGAAGCAGCTTTCGTTTTATTTAATCCTTTTCTCAGACCCGATTCCACCTGGATGATCCAGCCGGGCATATATCTCGCTGAGGTCTTCTAGGATCCTGCTAAAAATGATCAATAGGTCGGACGGATCGAAGAGTTAAAAGCACTAAGAATTAGGGACGCTAGTCGTCCTAGGACGAGTGCAACATCAGGATCAGAAATCGTCGATGCTTATGGATGCAAAGGCTACTGATCTCGATCATCGTTGATCCGCGATCAGGACCAGGTGAATGAAAAAAAAATGTTGGACTTATTCCGTGACAGAATAACGTTCACTGATAAATTCGCAAAAATTCAAATTATCTGCGAATGCCAATGGGACAGCTGGCGGTGAACCTGTCCCCGAAGGCGATTGGTCAGGACCAATCAGCGCTGGTCCTTTGGTCCGTTCCTGCTCTAATGACACCTAGAGGCTAAAAAGCCATGATATACAAGAGCCGTGCGCTAACGAAGTCTGCCGCATCCACATGAGCTTGCTGTCTACCGATACATACGAAATCTATATATGTAAATCGAGAGCGTGGGTATGCGAGATATATATATATATATGGGTTAATTCGTAGCGATGACGTCACGTTAGAACGAGTCCTCGCTAGGTTAATGGTAAGGAGGCTCCGGACCAGGACTGACCCTTGCCAGCGGCTTCGGGCTCCTGATTACAGACCTCAGGATTCATCTACACTCTCGCTCTCACCTCCGAGTATCCCACGAGGACGACGATGCTTAGTAACATAGTTAGAATGCCAGGAGGTACTATAGGACATCAAGGAAAGGTGTTATAACACAAGCATGGAGGTGGTCCCCGGCATTCCAGTTTCTCAAGAAATTTATCGATGACGTTTTACTAGACGTCCGAGGCACTACTGCCTTCCTTTTTGTGTCTAATGATTTCCATTTTAAATTTCTATCTCGGGTGATACTTGGGGACCCTCGTAACCGATCGGTCCCTGTGTTTTTGTTGGGCTAAAAAGCGTTTGGGACTTGTCTGATTAGAGTCGTGTTACGAGGGTGATTTGCCACGCGAATACACCGACGCGCCGTAATTCCGTAAATACGAGAGGAAATGGACGCAGACATTCGTAAGGAGGAAATGATTAATTTGATCTTAACGGGAAGAGACTGCCGTACCGCTGCTCGTTCTCCGAAGAAGATATCCGAAGAGAGGAGGCCGTATTATCGCCCTGCTTATTCTCTCTTATGAGAGAAAATATATAGGGGGACCAGTAAGAGACGGCAATTTCCAGTCGAGCGAACAATGCCACATACGTAGCTCTTTCTTGGTTGGCCAGGATTTAGGTTGGGGTTTAGGCTAGGTTAGGCGCGGCAACCTCGACTAGGTGCATGGCATGGCGTGTGTGTCGGCTCAGGCAGATTAGAGGCCGCAGGATAATTAAGTAGCGCCTTCGAATAACGCCCAGCTACAACACAACGATCCGATCTCCCTGTTCAGGATTTCCCTCCGAAAGGTTCACCCGTGTTCCTCTCCTCGCGGTCTCTGACCAATTCGCTCGCCATCAGCATCACCGATGGTACTTTTCTTTTTTTTTTCAATTTTAAGACGAAATCCCATGGATTACAAAGATGTTTTTTTTAATTAGTTTTTTTAAAAATGAAAAATTTTTTATGCAATTTCAATCAATGATTTTTGTCACCTTTCATTATTTTCTATTGTGCATCGCTCAATTCATACTGTGTCGCGGGAGATTAGATTGGTACAGGGATTATAGGTGAAGTGGGGCAAACTCCCAGTGGGTTCAGATTATTAGTGAGCTGGTAGTCATAGAAAGGTGTGATTCTGACGTGGCGGACGCTTCTTCTCCGCAGGTGAGATCACGGGAGCGAAGGAGACGCGAGGATGAACGAGGGAGTCGAAGGGAGA